CCCAGGCTGGTCTTGAACTCCTGGCCTCAAGCGATCCTCCCATGTAAGCCTCCCAAAGTGCTGGGATTACAGGTGTGAGCCACTGTGCCCAGCCTAACTATATATTTTAACTTTTATATTTTAAATTGGAATCACAATGCTTATCTGTCAGATACTCACCATATAAAATTCTTTGAATGTTACAGATGCTTTTAAATGTAATGCCAAGTATACACTGATTATTACTAAACTTAGGACAGGAGCATTAATACAGTGAGTTTGATTTACTCTTCCACCTCTGTTTTCAATTCTAAACTTTCCTGGAGTGTGGCAAGACACTTATCCAGTAAGAAGCAGTTTTATCTACTCTAATAAATTGTGCTTGGCATCAAATTGGGATTCCCATTTCAGCGAGCTGCGGTTATTCATAATTGGACTGATTTCTGACTAAAACGTTAATCCAGGGAGCTGTGTGTACCTGGAGTGACTGTCCCTGGCAGAGGCTGCCTTTGAGATTCAGGGGGAAGTTCTTTTCTTCCAAGTTTTTTGTTTCTTAGGGCAGCGGTCCCCAACCTTTTTGGCACCAGGGACGGGTTTCATGGAAGACAATTTTTCCACGGGTGGTGTGGTCGGGGGAGGCGGAGCTCCGGCGGTAAAGAAGCAATGGGGAGTGGCTGTAAATACTGATGAAGGTTGGCTCTTGGTCTTGCTCACCTCCTGCTGTGTGGCCCGGTTCCTAACAGGCCATGGGCCAATACCAGTCTGGGGCCTGGGATCTGGGGACTGTAATCATAGGGCGTACTTACTAGGGAGTACTAGAATTGCTGGTTAAAATGCAGATTTCCGAGTCCCCCTCCAGATCTGCTAAGTCAGGATTTCTGGGGACCTGACTCAGGAAACTTCCTTTTTAATAAGGTTCACACTTGGGAGCCGTGGAAAATTTTGAGCAGGGGTGACTTAAGAGGGTTAATCCTGATGCTGCCCAGGATGTGGTGAACTGCCCAGGCCATGTCCAGATGTGAGGAGTTGAGATCTGGCTTGGGCAGCAGGGACGGTAGAGACAGAGGGTCAGATGGCATTTGGAGTCCACACTGGGGACAGAAGAAAGGGGGAGGCAGAGGCAGTTCTGAGTCCAAGTATCTGGTTCAGGAAACTCATTCAGACTATTTTTACCTTTTCTATTTGGAAACTCTGGCCTCCTGGGACCTGTAACTATCTGATGAGAAACTGTGTCTCCAGCCTGCAGTCCCTGGAGCCCAGATTTGGGCTCGGCCGACCTTCACTGGGCCTTGGGATGTAATAAGCCAGGTCTGATTGGAATCAGGGTTTGCCTCATCAGTCTTAGGGGCCGAGGGAAACGTCTGCTCTGTCCCTTTGAGCCACCACCCCGAGCGGGTTCATCCGCGTGAATCAGGTCCCTGCAACCCTCCATGGCAGCCTCCTGAGGCAGAAGAAATAGAATTCATCCCTGCCTAATTTCCCACTTTTTTGAAGGGAATTTTTTGGGGGAAATTTTAAAAATAATACGTGATAAATGTAGAGGCTTACAAAAACAGAAAAACACAAAATGAAATCTGCACATAGTCTTATTATCCAGACGTGACTATAGTAAATACCCTATGTCTGCTCTAGTCATTGTGTGTGTGTGTATGTGTGTGTGTGTGTGTGTGTGTGTGTGTGTGTGTGTGTGTGTGTAGAGAGGAGAGAACTCTTTCACCTTAAAAACGTGGTGTCATATTGTACATACAGCTCATTGTGATAATGAGCTGTTTCTTCATCGAGCAGTCTGGAGTGATTGTCTAGTCCAAGTGACGGAAGAGTTCCCTATGATTTGATTTTTGACAGCTGCGTGGTACTCCATTGAACAGATGTGGCTCACACCCTGCTCTTGCTCCTGGCCAGCTGTGGGCTCTCTCTGTCCACAGATTTTTTTGGAGGGTAAGGTGAGGATAACAATAGAACCGACCTCACAGGCTTTGTGCATCATGTCA